ACTCCTTGCTAGAGCTGGTGCTCCTTTTTGGGTGATTTCAACTGTCGACATACCCTCTGGGGTGATGTTCTGACAAACACCCGAGGCCGCCTTTTCGAACTGTTCATCCTCGCTTCTTCTCTATCTCTTCTGAATTCTGGTGAGCACACTCATGTGGACTCAGACTTGCCCCCTTTCCTGTCTTGATCTTTCTCTCTGCTCGTCGTCACTTTACTTAGATTTCACATGGCGGGTTCTTGATGACCTCCATAACAGTGATCATTTCCCCATCCTCGTTTCCTGTTTCTTTTTCCACCCTCCTCTCTCCTTCCCTAGGTGGCAGTTTGCCAAGGCTGACTGGAACCTATTCACCCTCCATGCTACTCTCTCTGACCTCTCCTCTCTGCCTCTTGCACGCGCCCTCCTCCTTTTTCATGACACCATCTTCAGCGCTGCCCTCCGCTCTATTCCTCGCTCTGCCTCCCGAGGCACGCAGAAGTGCATTTCCCTGATGGAATGTGGACTGTGGTCGGGTTGTCCGCTGTAAGCGTGCAGCCTGTAAGAAACACCGACGCTGGCAGACGGCTGATTCTTTTGTTCTGTTTTGGAAGGCTAGTGAGGTGGCTCGTAGGACCATCCGTACAGCTAAAAGTCTTATGTTTCCACCATTACATCTGATACACCTCTGCCACAGATCTGGAAAAAGATCCGCAAGATTGTGGGTAAGTTCGTTCCCATGTCTCGCCAGTTCTCCACCTCCATGGTAATCTTGTGGCGGACCCAGTGCAGGTCGCGACCGAACTGGATTCCCACTTTTTTACTGTTAGCTCTGGTTCTCATCTTCCTCAATCCTTCCTTTTTCGTAAGCTTGTTCTTGAATCTCATTCCTTAGATTTCCACACTCATTTCCGTCTCCTCTGTTGAAGACCTCCGTTGTTGCTGTCCTTTTTGACCTGGAAAAGGCTTATGACACGACTTGGAGATACCATATTCTGTCCCAACTTCGTTCTTTTGGCCTTCGTGGTAATCTCCCTCTCTTCCTCTCTTGTTGTTCCTTTAGAGTCAGGCTTGGTGCCACTCTCTCTGCCTCTTTTCAGCAGTACGAAGGTGTGTCCCAAGGTAGTGTTCTGAGCACTACTCTTTTTCTGGTTACCCTCAATGGGCTTCTTTCCTCCCTCCCTTCTGGCATCTTCTCCGCTCTTTATGTTGACGATCTTACTCTTTGCTGTCGCGGTGATGATTCGCCTCTCCTTCAGTGGCAACTTCAACTTGCGATTGATGCTGTGTCATTTTGGGCCACCAATCATCTCTACAACCAAGACTTGTGCTATGACTTTTACTCAGAAGCAGGTCATTCTTCATCCCTCTTTGTCGCTTTATGGCCATCCCCATGTGTACAAAGATTCCAAGAAGCTTTTAGGGTTATTCTTTGACACTAATTTGTCCTGGTCGCTCTATATCTCTTATCTCCGAGTTGAATGCTCTAAGGCCCTTAACCCCCTGAAGGTTTTGTCTCATACTTCTTGGGGTGTGAATAGGCGCATGCTTCTCTATTTGCACTTCTCTCTCGTCCTGCCTAAACTCGATTATGGTTGCCCTGCATACTCTTCTGCTTCTCCTTCTACTCTTCGCCATCTTGATCCTTTGCACCATACTGGGTTGCACCTCAGCTCTGGTGCCTTTCGTTCAACTCCTACCCTCAGCTTGTATGCTGACACTGGCTTCCTCTCTCTCTAGGACCACCGTGATCGCTACTGTCTTCACTATCTTGCGAGGTCCTTACAGCATCCTCACTCTTGCCTCTGTCGTGCTTTGACTCTTACCCCTACTGTGGTTCCTGTTCCTCTTCACCACCTTCCTCTTTCTGTCCGTTTGTCTCACTTACAAGATTCTCTTTCGGTTCGTCTTACCAATGTTTCTCCTTGTAATGTTCCATCCTTGCCCCTGTGGAGGGTCCCCCTTCTCAAATTTTATACTTCCCTGACCTGCATCACTAAAGCTTTTACCCCTCCTATGGTCCTGAAACGCCTTTTCCTTGAGCACTTTTCTTCACACTTCCACTCCATTTCTATCTTCACCAATGGGTCTAAGTCTGCTGAAGGTGTGGGCTACTGTTATTTTTCCAGACCATACTTATATGTATCGCCTCCCTCCGGAGGCTAGCATCTTACAGCAGAACTTATCCTCTTCTCTATGCTCTTCATCTCCTGCTTTCTCGTTGTCAATCCTCCTTTGTGGTGGTAGTTGACTCTCGTAGTGCCCTCATGGCTTTGGAGTCCTTTAAACCGATCCACCCTGTGGTCATTGAGATTCAACATTGGCTGTTTCTTATCTCCAGTAAATTTAAGTTGGTAGAGTTTTGATGGGTTCCCAGCCATGTTGGTGTCTCTTTAAATGAGCGCGCAGATGCTGCCACTAAGGAAGCTATCCCACTTGTCCCATCTCTCGTAAAGGTATTCCATATTCCGACTTTTACCCAATTATTCATTCCTCCATCCTTGCCGTTGGCAGGGTTGTTGGTCTTCTGTTATTGGTAACAAACTGTGTACTCTTAAGGGTCGTGTGTCCCTGTGGCCTTCCTCCTACCACCGTAACTGGCGGTGGGAAACAGCTCTGGCTAGGTTACATATTGGCCATACATGTTTAACTCACGGTCACTTAATGCAGTGCCGCCCTGCTCCTTACTGTCCAAATTGCATTGTTCCACTTACAGTCATGCACATTCTTGTTGAATATCCTGACTTCCAGGAGGAGCATGTGTCTTGCTTTCTGACCATCCCTTGTGGTCAATTGTCCCTTGATAGAATTCTTGGTGAATCGGATACTTTTGATATCGTTCGCCTTATGTGTTTCTGTTCTCATATTGGCATCCTTGGTGATAGTTAGTGTCCTCTGATTGTTCCGCACATTTGGTGGTGCTACATAGCCTTCCCAGTTTGGTGCCTTCTTTTGATAATTATACTTACTTACTTCACAATATTAACTGGGAATCTGAATTCAATAATACACAGGATATAAATTCATTAGTTAACCTCTTTCTCTCCAAAACTCTAAGCCTCTACAATGCTCATTGTCCCCTCCTTACCAAACAAGTAACTGACAAAAGAATAAACAATCTGTGGTTCACAAGTAGCATATTCAAATCCATCAACAAGAAACATGAATATGAAAAGAAACTTAGGATTAGCCTAGTTACAAAGGAAGTAGTTAAAAGTTACTCATCAATGCTTACCAGTATCATAAGAAATGCAAAACTTTCATATTATGAGAATAGATTCAAAGAAGGAAAAGGCAACATGAAAAGCACATGGAAAACCATCTCTAATATCCTAGGAACTAAATAACACTCACACAACCAGATAAAACTCTCTAAGGATGGCTATACACCATCAACTGATTTAGAAATGGCAAATGAATTTATTAGCTTCTTTTCATTGGTTGGTGCTAACCTTGCCAGAAAAATCCCACAGACTCAGACACATATTAACGCATATCTCTCAGGCAGCTAAAACTCTCTTCTCCTTTCACCAGGATGTTGTGTCTCATACACCATAAAAACAACTGATCAGTTAGAACATGGCATGCCCTTGCACCACCCATGAATTTATTCATTCTTCTTTCCTTAACCCTTGGTTAAATAGGTGCTAACCTTGCCAGAAAAATCCCACAGACTCAGACACATATTAACGCATATCTCTCAGGCAGCTATCCAAACTCTCTTCTCCTTTCACCAGTCAGCCCAACAGATGTTGTGTCCATCATACACTCACTAAAAACCAAAGCTGAGAACATCAGTGAAATCTCATCCATTGTATACAAGAGCGCCTCCCATGCCCTTGCACCACCCATAGCTCTGCTGTTCAACAAATCTCTAGTGTCATTCCTTCCCTGATATCCTTAACCCTTAAACTGCTAACTGTTAAATAGCAAACATCCCCAGGGTGCTCAAGAAAAAAATTGTTCTGAAAAATAATTTTTTCTTATGACATTGTTAATTAGCCTTCAGGAAGCACAAAAATCCAAATAAAAATTCTCTAGCTCTTGTGGTTTAGCTGTAGTTGCCTGGAGAAGCTGCATATTTTTAGTTGAGGTGCCGCATAGGAATAACTTTGTTGATTTATTTTCATTGTTTCTCAATTTATTAATATAGTCTTTTCATGCTAACAGGATGTATTTGTGTGTCAAAGTTACTGTCTATTATGTAAAACTTTGCATATGGGAGCCCCCTCTACCCCGCGGGCCTTTCAAATCTTGCGCGGATTTGAAAGGATATATACTCCAATATATCATATGATGGGAAGCGCAAGTTATTGCAAGTCACTCAACCCATCATATGGGTTGAGTGACCCCATCACATTGCGCACTTAAAGGGTTAAACGATTTGGCAGGTCGTATTCTGGGGATTATTAGGATTAAGGACTTGTCCCAAATGCTATGCATGCTAGTGACTGTACAAGAATATAAAAACTCTTGTATAAATAAATAAATAAATAAATAAAAAACATTCAACACTGGTTTTTTGGGGATACATTGCAAAATTTCTCCAAAAATTTATAATGGGGTGACAAACTGTGTTGGGTGTGTAGAGGTCATGGGATGTTATTTTAACAAACTTTGAAGATACGGTTGGTTTATTTATGTTAACAACCACTTGTACTGATCGGTACAGTGACAGCCTTGCTTTCTGCAGGTTGGTGTCTGATCCCCAGACAGTTCACGTGGGTCCACGTGGGTCCTCGTGTTTTAGACACAGTTCCTTCCATTTCTCCTATGTCAGCTGCTGGTCCCCATATCTCAGCTTTTTGCCTTCAAAACCCCTGATATTCACCTGATAATTACCTTCCTTTATGTTAACACATTATATAACTAAGCTTGTCAGTGCTGTAGCTTGTTAGCTAAACAAATTTTGGGCTTCAGTTTCTGAATCCATTATGTGCCTCTGTAACTTTTCCACTACAGTTCACAAGATGGGTCTGTGGTGCATAATTCAGTAAATGAACTAAACATTAAACTGTGTACAGGTATGGGGATCACCGTCAACACAGCGGGAAGAATCCTAAAGGGGCAGAAGAAGGGAGTGTCGGGTGAGGAAGGCTTCTTGGTATGGGACAGGTTCCCCAATGTTGGCCTTCTCAAGGTAAAGTGATAACAGTTCTTGTCAATGCATAAATTTTTATTTTTGGCTAAATTTGAGAAACGATAGTAGTCACATTTGCTTCATACTAAAGGAGGTTTATGTTGGGTATCCTTAAGCAGTGCCTATATAATCACACTAATCTGTTAAAATTTATTTCAACCACATTCAAACTATTTACAGACATACAACGTGGATAAGCAGGTGCCAGACAGTGCCGCCACTGCCACAGCATTCCTGGCAGGGGTCAAGGCTAACTATTACACGTTAGGTGTTAATGGTAAGGTCAAGCGCGGGAACTGTGAGGCCTCACTCAAGGCAGAAAATAGAGTGGATTCCATTTTGAAGTGGGCACAGGATGCTGATAAATCAACAGGTGAGTTATAGAGCAAGGCCTAGGGAAGGGTAGTTAAACCCAAGGCAGGAAGGATAAACCTAGAGCAGGGAGGTTAAACTCAGGGCAGGGGGTCAACCCCAAGGCTGTGGAAGGGTTTTTAAACTTTGGGAGTGAGCTTATATACATAAAAGTTCCAAGTAGCATGGGCTATGGTGAGCCTGTAGTGGATTTAACTTCAGATGGACAATGTTAACATCAGCAATAAAAATGATGGAAAATTCCTTGGCCTATACATAGGCAAGAGACTCAACTTCACATACAAAACATAACCAAAAAAACAGCGTTGAATGTAATGAAACCCCATTTTCTGGGTGAGACCTGGAGGCTCTCTTGGAGCTATACTGGGCTGATGTGTATATATTAGACCGTGGCAACAGTCAATCGAAGGAGTTCTAAGCCTACCAGGGACCAGAGCCAGAACCTGGCCCCCCTCAAGAGAGGCACGAGGAGCAATGGCCTAAAGACACCCCCGTGTAAATGAAAGCAGTCTTTGTCTGCCATCTACCAGGTCAGGCACCTAGAAAGGTAGGAATTTCAAAACAAATTACTGCTGGTAAAAAATTGCAACCCGAAAGCCGAACTAGCAAACAAAACTCCCGAATCAAAAACAAGGAAACAAACATGACATCACTAAAACTGTCGCAAATCCATCTGCTCAACCCCTCCCCCTTCCCGGGAGGAGAGGGGGGGATCCCAGATCTCCACGCCGGCAACTCTCCTCAGTTCAGAGGCTGAGTATCAAAAATACAAAACAATGACAACTGGAGGGAGGAAGGGATGCTGAGGAGCCTCCAGGTCTTGCCCAGAAAATGGCGTTTCATTGCCTTCAATGCTGGTTTTCTGTGTAGAGCCCCTTTGGCTCCCTGGAGCTACCTAACCAAAGATAAGAAGAAATGGGACTCACCTGAAAAGCGGTCATCACTCGCTCCTCAACTCAAGGTCTAAATAACAGGCCGCAACCTGCGACCAAAAGCTAAACACACCCGAGAAGGACTAGGAACATTAACAAGGTAACGTGCAGCCAGGACCCTGTTCGACCTCCAATAGCCCCATGTCCAAAAGATAGGCCAGAACATTACCAAAACAGCAGCCGAATGCCAAACTTATGAACGGCATGGACTCGGGGAAAGACCGCAGGCTGGCTGGATCGAATAATCCTGCGGACAACCTGGGAGACCCGCGCCCTGGAATAGGGAAGAATGGAAACTGGGTCAACCCAAAGCGCGTCCTTTGCCACAGAGGTTGCGGCATGCAAATAATGGCAAAGAGCCACAGACACAAAACATTATGCAACCCCAGCCGAACTGAGTATCAACAACCCAAGGACCCGTTTGGAAAGCAGCAGACTCATTCTTCGTTAGAAAAGAAGGAGATGGCTGCAAACGAAGAAAAGACCACAGGACCAAAAGAGCCTAAATCCCTGAGCCGGAGGAGAGCATGAAACTCTCCAACCCGACTCCCAGAGGCCAATGCCAACAAAAAAAGAACCGTAGAAAAACAGTCCTGAACCAAGAGGGCCACCCCAAACTGAGGAGAAGGGAGAAGAGAGCTCCCAGTGCAATGACCAAGATGGCTCAGGCTGCGCATGAGCAGCCGGAGGTGAAAATAACGCCCGAGAAAGCTTGAGGAAGGGAGCAGAAGTGACATCCACCCCAAATGCAAGCTGCAGCGGCTCTGCCAGCACCACCCAAAATGAGGTGACATTATCTGGCATAAGATGACGGTCCTAAAACAACCAAGAGAGAAAGGACAAAACAACCCAACCAGAAATCGAAGGCAACCTATGAAGAGACAAAGTGCCGAAAGGACCACCAAGAAATTTCATACTTCCATCGAGACGAAACTCACAGGTGGGACACCAACTAAGCCACCTGATCACCATTTAAGATCACCATAAGCACGCGTCATAAAGACCAGATGCGAGAAGCAGAGAAGATCGAACCAGCCACGTACCAGAATGGACCAATCTGCTGAAAGAGGCGGAACCACAGGAAGACCCTCGGGTTCAGATATCGAGCAAGAAGCGCCTGAAACCTGGGCTGGGCCAGCCACTAAAGAGCCAACAGGATTCCTGGTAAGTCTCTCTTAACTAACCAGGACCCGGAGCAACAACCAAACCAGTGGGAAGAGGTACAGGTATCCCCAACTCAACCAGTCCAGCCGAAAGGCATCGACCCCAATGGCCTTGCAGTTTGGGAAGGGTGCCAAATACACTGCAAGATGCCTCGAACAAGTCGATGCAAAGAGGCCTCTAGGTGTCCGTACATTCGGCAGGGCCAACTGAACGACTCTGTGTCGACCGTCCATTCCATGGACTGGGGAATGAACCAAGACAGGCGATTCGCCAGGACGTTTGACACCCCCTGAATGTGAATCGCCAGGATAGCCAAACTCCGAGAACTCAGCAAATGAGTCACCTGAAGCGACCAGCCCCAAAGAGCCAAGGACCACATTGAACCCCCCGCGGTTCATACAATGAACCACCGGGCAGCAGTCCAATTGGAGCTGGATTGTTGTTCCGCAAGCAACACGAACCTTCTGAAGCGAATGCCACACCACCGCGAACTCCTGCACTGTGCTGTGAGCCTGACGGAAGGACGGACGGACCCCCACTGACTCTGGCTGGTCTGGTGAGCACTGGTCACAAAACACCAGCTGAGAGACGAGGCATCCGTGAACACATTGAGCGAGGGCTCTGGGGTGGGGGGGGGACGTCAGGGCATAGAAACCCAAAAAAACACTCAGAGGAAGTCGGTGATGCAGCAGCCGATGCAAGGCTCCCAGGATCCAAACACAGTGATCAGAAGAGCGGTGGAAGGGATGCCCCCGAAGAAACCAAAACATCCACCGAAGCCAGATCCATCCCGACGGGTAGAACAGCACGGCCAAGATCAGGCTCTCGCATCGCCGCTCAAACAACTGTGTGACCCGGGTGCCCTCCAAAAACAGTCTGAATATGAGAGGGAACCAAATGGGACTTCTTCCAGTACACCAAGAACCTGAACCTGGCGAGCTGGTATGGAACCAAATCCTTGGCGAGCAGACACAGGGATTGGCTGGGAGCCCACACTAGCCAATTGTTGAGGTAAGCCAGAACTCAAACGGGTCACCACGACCCAGTTAAGGCGTGTGGACACGCGAGGTACCAAATCCAAACTGGAAGGCAATGAAAGCATTGAGTCTGTCACCCCACAAGAAAACCGAGCCAGTTCCTGAACACTGGAAGAATTGGGACGTGCTAATACTTGTCTTGGAGGTCCAGAGACACCATCCAGGCCCAGCGCCAAAAGCAGCCAGACCCGAGACAGAGTGGTCATCTGAAAGGAGGGGCTAAAGACCCAGGGAATCAGATGGGACAAGCCCAAAATGAATCACAGATCTGCCCAGTTCCATTTCGGAACTGAAAACAGGCTGGAAACCCACTCCAGGATGACCTGACTGAGTGCGGGGTTAGAGGCCCGCCCTGCAAGCTCCAATCCTCTCGAAGGAGAAGGAAAGATGCAACGCCACCGCAGGCCAGAGGAAAATGACCCGAATTGCCCACGAATCGTGGGACCAGGTGAGAACAAACAGCATGAGCCTTCCCCTTATCTCCCCGCCAATGGAGCAAACCGTGAAAGAACCAACAATCCCTATGAGAGCCCAACTGACACTCAGAGAGATCACTGAGCCAATGACTTCCCAGGAGGGCCAGTCCCAAATCTGACACTATTGGCTTACGACAACCGAAGGAATCCTAAGACCTGTAGCGACCCTTCTGGGCAGGACCTCCAACCCCCCACCCCCATGGAGAACCTACAAGTCCAACATAGGCCGTCAACTAGACGAAGCTGCCTGCAGAAAATGCACCACCGCAGACTCTGCAAACAGCAATGGACAAAAGCAAGAGGGGGATGAAAATCTAAGAGCCAGGGCCCAAGACGATTCCAAAGAATGGACGAGCACCGCCTGTCAGCACGTGAGACGAGAAGAGAAGAACAGACACCGCCTCCCTCAGAAACGGTGCATAAAACTTCAACAAGGCAGCCGGCGCCTGAGCTGCCGAAGCAAGCACACCGGACACTGGCCCAGAACCCAGCTTCTCCACACCCACCCCGAGCCAGTCCAAAGACAGCTCCAGCAGAGAAAAGAAGTGCAAGACCGAAGCCAAGTACCCATGGGCTCGCAAATCCTCAGCCACCAGGATGCCGAAAGGAAGGGAGTCTGCACATGAAGCCTCACCTGGCCGACATCATAAGGAAGGACGGGGGCAAACAAGTACACATTGAGGTGCTTCAACTCGCCCCCCCCCCAGGTAAACCTGAATGACCGTAGTCAACTTCCGCCATTCAAGTGCGCAGTCCGACAGGACAAAAGTCAAGCCCCCAACGATAGAAAAGGCAGTCTGCCAGCCAGGAAGACTCTGGCACCTTGTAACGCACCCAATAAGAAAAAGAGGAGCCAAACTCAAAAGAAGAAGGCTTCATTATCGAGGCGTAATCCGGTTCTCGCAGGAGGTAAGCCACAAGGGCCTCCCACACCTTCTTCTGTGGGATGCGGGAAGCCAAAAACCTCTGGATAGAGGGAACCGATGAACCAAGAGAACTCGGAACCGAACCCTGGGATTAGTCGAACTCATAACAAAATCGTACAGGGAGATAGGAAAACCCCTCCCTTCTGTAACAACAGCTCCGCACCGAGGGTACCAAACTCCCAAGCAGGGAGAAGTGAGGCTGAGGCCCTCCCAAGTCAACTCCTCCCAATCCCTGGAATCCTCCACGTCAGGACCAAGGGTCGAGCCGTCCTCCAAACTCTCTGCCTCTGGAGAAAAAGTAGAGTCCACTGGAAAAGCAGGGATGAAGGAGGACCCGCTGACGTGGCCCAAAAGCTGTAGTGACATCATGTTTGTTTCCTTGTTTTTAATTGAGGAGTTCTGTTTGCTAGTTTGGCTTTTGGTTTGCAATTTTTGACCAGCAGTAGTTTGTTTTGAAATTCCTACCTTTCTGGGTGCCTGACCTGGTAAATGGCAGACAAAGACTGCTTCCAATTACACGGGGGTGTCTTTAGGCCATTTCTCCTTGTGCCTCTCTTGAGAGGCCCAGATTCTGGCTCTGGTCCACGGTAGGCTTAGAACTCCTTTGATTTATTGTTGCCACAGTCTAATATATATACACATTTTTTTTACACAGGTGGGTAAAGGAGGAGACTACTTTTGATTGCTGTTATTTATTTAATTTATTTATTTATATACAAGAAGGTACATTGGGGGTTAACCCTTGAATGGTGCATGGCTATATACCATTTGACACCCACAGGTGCATAAAAAAAAAAAAAAAAAAATCTTCCTAACCTATTAATTTGTGTTCACTGATCATGGGAAAAATAATAAAAAAAATCGTAAGTGGCATATATTGCCCGCTATAGGGTGGGGAAGTCTGGCAAAAAACAGGCACTGACTGAGCGTGCGTCTCAGGCGGTCTGTTGCTCGCCAGCTGTCAGGCCAGAGTTGCCACAAAGAGATAATTACCTAATTATTTCAGTGTCTCTGATTGATTTTTCGTAGTTTTTTTGCTGTAATATTATTCAATAGTGTGTAGTGTGATATATTTATATAATAAAATGAGTGAATCATCGCTGTACTCAAAAATATGGTGTGCATATTGTTGATTCTATTATGTTCATCAAACAGTGAACAACTACTTTGTCGGTTATTACACTATATACACAGGTTATATATAAGTATCTGCATGTTTTGTTCACCATAACAAAATACTAAGTTGCTATTATGAGTCAAAAAGTAACAAGGAGTGACTGCCACACACCAGCCAGCCACTCACTCCCTCCCTCAACACCTCACTCGCCCACATTCTCCTCCCACCATACTGTTTTTGTTTTTATTCACTATATACAGACGTTACATATAAGTATCTACATTCATGTTCACCATACAAACCACTAAGTTGGCATGCTGAGTGGCAGTGCCACCGCCACTGGCTGCTACTTCCTCCCTCCCTCAAGTCACCTGACTCACCCACATTCTTCTCCCACAATACTGTTTTTGCTTTTATTCACTATATACAGACACTATATATAAGTATTTACATTCATGTTCACTATAACGAACCACTAAGTTGGTATGCTGAGTGGCAGTGGCAGCCCGCTACTGGCTGCCACTCCCTCCCTCCCTCCCTCCCTCACGTCACCTGACTCGCCACCATTCACCTCCCACCATACTGTTTTTGCTTTTATATTCAGATGTTATATATATATGTATTTACATGTTTTATTCACCATAACTGTACATCTAAGCTTGTATGGTGAGTAAAGGCACAAAGACGTAGCTACTCACACAGTCAGCTGGTGGCTGCCGCCCTCAAGGCCAGACGCACTAATATTTCTCCTCCAACAATACTGTTTGTGGTGTTATTACGCTATATACACACATTATATATAAATATCTACCCGTTTTATTCACCATACTTGTACAAGTAAACTGGTATGGTGCCCAAAGACCATCGTGGTCACCAGTAAACAACATGATAAGTCGTGCAGACAACACCACCGCCCTCACCAAAATGGCAGCTCCCAACCTACTCCTCTTGCTGTTTATACCCTCTATACACACGTTATATATAAGTATCTACATTTGTGTTCACCATAGCGAACCACTAAGCTGGTATGGTGAGTGCAGTCAATAAAAGGTGGCCACACACAGTCAGAAGACAATGCCCCTCCCCTCCCACAGCATTACTCCTCCCTCCATGGAGCTCAGCGCTAAATATCACCACAATCCTGCTATTATCAGAACCCTGGTCAGTTTTATCACAGTCAGGGGTCTTCTGTAATAATATCATCGCTACATAATAGCATGAACAAGTATATTATGGCATTTTTAGGCAATGCTGTGGTCACAAGCTGAACAGCAGTGCTGTCAACTCATGCTCCGTGCGTCAGGCTTGGTAGCTTACTCAATACTGAGGCCCCTAACACCCGGGAATTTGGTACACGATTTTTTTTTTAAATGGCGTCTGTTTACAAGAGCCCTGGTGAAGGTAATTACCTAAGTGTAATTACCTAAGTGTAGTTACAGGATGAGAGCTATGCTCGTGGTGTCCCGTCTTCCCAGCACTCTTTGTCATATAACGCTTTGAAACTACTGACGATCTTGGACTCCACCACCTTCTCACCTAACTTGTTCCAACCGTCTACCACTCTATTTGCGAAAGTGAATTTTCTTATATTTCTTTGGCATCTGTGTTTAGCTAGTTTAAATCTATGACCTCTTGTTCTGAAAGTTCCAGGTCTCAGGACATCTTCCCTATCTATTTTATCAATTCCTGTTACTATTTTGTATGTAGTGATCATATCACCTCTTTTTCTTCTGTCTTCTAGTTTTGGCATATTTAATGCCTCTAATCTCTCCTCGTAGCTCTTGCCCTTCAGTTCTGGGAGCCACGTAATTGCATGTCTTTGCACCTTTTCCAATTTGTTGATGTGCTTCTTAAGATATGGGCACCACACAACCGCTGCATATTCTAGCTTTGGCCTAACAAAAGTCGTGAACAATTTCTTTAGTATATCGCCATCCATGTAATTAAAAGCAATTCTGAAGTTAGAAAGCGTGGCATAGTTATTGCTTGCAATAAATTAAATTCAGTACAGTATTTTTACAATGAAACAATACTATAAAGTGTATTAAATTAATGTGGTTGTTGGCAACATAGTGTAATCATTTTTCTGTCAGGTGTTGTGACGACAGCGCAAGTGACACATGCAACACCTGCCGCACTCTACGCTAAATCTGCTGACCGCAGATGGCAGTGTGAGACAAAGATCTTCACAGCAGGAGAAGAATCTCACAAGTGCAAGGATATTGCTCTGCAACTTGTTGAAGATGAACCAGCAACGAAAATGAAGGTATGTGATCTCTGCTCACTGTTCTAAAGGTCCATTTTATCACATTGATGTTCTTTAAGCTGAAAGAGGTAGTTGTAATGTATTTCATATAGGTGATGTTACAAAGCATCTGTAGGTATTTTATAAAACATTCATATGATACGTAAATGTAAATATAAACACTAGAGTACATACATACACAGAATATAAAAGTACATACATACACAGAATATAAGCAGATTGTTGGAATCATGGGTACGTAGGTACATTGCCTAAAGCCACTAATATGCACAGTGTTTTGGGCATAATGTAAGAAAAACTTAAGTCTTAAAATTAAATTAAATAAAAAATAATAATGAAGTAGAGAAATAGATATAAAATGATAATTTTTACATGATGAATGGAACAGCAAAATTGTAACAGAACAACAAATAATAATTTTACAGAATAAACAGAAAAGTACAAAATTGTACTAAGTTTTCTGGGGGAAGCCCATTGAGGCTTCCTGAAGCTATTACACTATGTACCATAAATCATGAGCCAGAACTTGGTACCCTCAAAGATGCACAAAGAGTAGTGGCAATATGAACATCTTACATTTAATGTTAATCATGTCTGCCACCACCAGGGAAGGAACCTAGAAAGTCAGCAAAACAAAACAGACTACAGTACAGTTAGAATGAGACTGTAGTCTCACAAATTGCTGAAGAACTCCCCCAACAATGCAAACCACCAAAATTTCATGAAACTAGCACAAGCTAGTTTGCCCCACCACCCTCCCTTGTTTGGCGGGAGGTGGAAGATGGACCGGGACAGCCAGTTTGCTTCACCCTCAGTCCTTATTTTGATATGCCTGGTCAATGTCCTAGTCAATCTGGCTCCAATCAGCTCAGTGGTGCTTTGCCTTTTGAGGCAGGATTGCCTCATTGAGCTATCTGTAGCCCACTTGGGCTATCTGTATCCCACTTGGAGTATCTGTAGCCCACTTGAGCTATAAGGAGTCCAATTGTAATACCAGCAGTTACATGTAGATACTTTTGATTATCCAGTTCTGGCAACCCTGCCTTAAGGCTATTTTTATATGCATTTGCATTTGCATTTGTGAGCCAGGAGCTTAGTATGCTTGGAGCTCCATGTGGTCAGGGTTTTCTTCCCTGTCCACTGTTTAAGTTCTACCCTTGCAAGGTCATGCAAGGCCATCTTCTCTGGGGTGTTCGGAACGCACTCCCTTCAGGGAGGGTTTCCTCGCATTGGGTTGCCCTGGCCCTTTAGGTAAATCAGTGGTTTTTGACTGTCGGTCTTTCTTTGAGCTGGGAGTGTTTTTGGCTGGAGGGTGTACTGTGATTTGTGTCCAGTTATGTATTGCAATACACGGTACATCAGTGTTTCTCCCTGGTAGTTCGTTCTCCACGGTTTCGTCTTGTTTTTTTTTGGCTCATTTGTTTATTTGTCATTTAGCCCTTTTGTGCTTGGGGGGTTCTTCTGTTTCATCTTATTAGACTTTGCTTAGGGTGATTGTGTGGGTAAACCCCCCCCCCTCCCCCTTGTTGCTCCCTTGACTCTGTTGGTTTCTGGTGGCCAGGGTTGTTTTTCTGGGGGGAGCCCCATTTACTCTCCAGAGCTATCCAGGATGAATGGATATGTATAACTTTCTGGCATCAGTCAATGTGCATGGAGTTCTTGCCTATCGAGGACCATGAGCCAGAACCTGGCCCCCTCAGAGAGGTGCGAGGAGCAATGGCTTATAGAGCAATGGCTAGTTTCTGACTCTAGTTTATCTAGTTTCTGACTAGTTTACCCAAAAAAGGTCTAAATATGCTTTGGAAAGGTCAGTGTCGATTTGGATCAACATGTAGGTTTTTCCATTCCGACATGTGCCAAACCTCACTCGAGGACAGAAAATGTTATGACTTCAGCTGCCCATACTTTCATGTGAAAGGCACAGAACGCTACATAAAGAGTGGCAAGCAGGATAATGAATTTGGAGGAAACTTGATAAATTTTTATACCAAACTGAAAGAGAATTCAAAAGGAGGAGCATGGAGAGTGTACAGAACTGGATGCCAGACCCACTTACATACCAGACTTACAGATACAATTACACACCAAAAGGGAACTACATCTATGACAGGCAACTGCCCTACAACAATCAGCACTGGTCAGAACAAACTCAATATGTCCAAGCATAATGGGCTTGCCAAAAAAGTCTCCCAGTCCAACTGCCCCTAATAGAGTAACCTCATTCATCTTTGCCAACATACAAGGACTAAAAACAAGAACAAACAACAAAGTACAGGTTCATAAATGGCCTCTTCACGGAGTCAAATGCAGTATTTGGAGCTTTCACAGAAACCCATGCAGGGGAATTCTTGGACAGTGAGATCTGGATTCCAGGATATAACCTATACAGGTGTGATAGGATAATTAGGTCACATGGAGGAGTGGGTCTATATATTAGGGAAGACCTTGTATGCTCGGAGCTCCTTAACGTTACAAATGAGGTGGTAGAGATACTGGGATTAAAAATAGAGAAAATAAACTTAGTGATTATTCTAATATACAAACTGCCAGATGTAACAGCTGAGGAATTCACAGAACAAATAAACAAACTAGAGAATAGCCTTGATAATTTGGAGAACCCGATACCTGATATTATCTTCCTAGGTGACTTCAACTTGCCTAGTCTCAGAAGGAGAAGAGCAAGCAATAATATTATACCAGGAAATCTATCGGGACCTAACCAACCACAGATTAAAGAACTACTTAGATTCTGTGACACATTTTCACTCAACCAGCAGATATCAGAGCCAACGAGAAATGAAAATATTCTAGATTTGGTCTTTTTGAACAATGAAGACATTATCAGGGACATTACGATATCAGATACCACATACTCAGATCACAAGCTCATTGAAGTGCAAACGACCATCAATACTCAGAATAGGCCTAAAACGTTGATCAAGCAAGAGGGGTTTTTAAGTAAATTCAATTTTAATACAGTATCCACTCAATTTAACAGCATCTTTTTTACCGATCTGCCGGTAAAAACGACTGGTTTGGGAGACCGGTATCTAGAGCCTCATATACCGATCTGGTGGTCGATATTACCGAAGGTTGGTATTGGGTTTGTTTTGGCATCAGGGGGTCCTCACATGGCAAGCAGGCCGCCTACCTCATTCATCCCCTCCCTCACCCCTCGCTGAACCTCTTCCCCACTCCCTCACTCCTGCTCTCCTCCCACACCCTCATCTCCTGCCTCCCCACCCTCCCCCCAAGACCCTTCTGGGAAATGGCTCAGTAGATTGCCAGCCAGCCAGAGACAGCCTAGAGAATCTCCATCTAATACAATAAAACATTCATGAAACAAGTATTTTATAACTTTTTATTATCCTAATAATATTACTAAACAAAATCTGCAACCAAAAATATATATGATGATGTACATCCATCCAGAATTTAAGAAACATCTGGTTAACTGGGTCAAGTGTGTTCGGTTTATCAGTGAGCCGGTCCTTCCCCCTCCACCAGATAGTGGAGGGGGCTGTGAGTTCAGATTCCTCTGGGATCAGTGATCCATCTCCTTTTGGACTGCTCCCTGTGGTTCCTTATTCATGTAGAGATGGCTTGGTCCATGGTTCTTTGGGGCTGGTCGGCTTGGGTAGCTCGTCTGCTGAGTACTTGGGGTTTGATCTCTGTGCCATTCACATCCAGGGAGTGTCTTAACATCTTGACCAATGGTCTATCTTGGTTTCTTCTCATGCCAAATACTTATTGTGAGGCATTAGCAGAGCCTCTTTGTCTTGTGTTTAGGGTTGACCTTCCTTCAGACCCATTTTGCAAACTTCTCATGCTTTGTTTCACTTGTCGCCTGCTCACGTGCTGCCTAAGCCTGCCTGGTCTCTGTACTGGGATCTTTCTTTTCTCTCTCTTCTGCTTATTTTACGGTGGCTCTTTTGGTCCAGGATTGTTTCTGAAGACGGTATTTTACTTCCTTTGGCTTCTGTTTGTCAGGTTGGTGAGCTTCATGCTCTTCCATAGTACTAGGGGTTTTGTTTCTTCAGCCCTGATAGGTATTTTGTTCAGTTGCACCCAGCTCCTCCTTTTCTGGCAAAGGGGAAGTCAGCAGGCTTCCAGAGAGGGTCCTTTCGTTATGTATGCTTTGTTGGTTCGGCCAAGGGTGCATCATGAGCTTTGTCCGATGGTGGCTTTATGCTGCTACTATCGTGGTTCCAGTTCTGCTTTAGTGGATTTGTTATGGGTTGGTCTGGTTTCCCTGGTTCCATGTTGTAGGGGTCGTAATTCTTAGGTCATCTGCAGAGTACTTCAGGCTAGCCAGCCTTTGGTCTACCCTCATGCTCATGATGTCCGAAAGTCTGCCACTCTATTGATAGTGTTCGCTAATATGTCTTGAGCCGATATTTGGGAGCAGAAAGTTTTGGAGATTGCACAGAATCTTGGCCACTGGGTATCTTATGAATGAGTTGATTCCTACAGTGATGCCTCCTCCCTGGTGTGCCCCCCTTTTTTGTCCTTCTCCATGGGCAGTTAGTCTCAGGGACCCGACAGGGCTTCCCCAAGAAAACCAGCTTTGAATGTAATGAAAAGCCAATTTTTGGGTAAGTCCTGGAGGCTCCCTGACACCCTTCCTACCCCAGGGCATCATTGTATTTCATCATAGAACTGAGAGTGGGGTTTACCGGTTCACCCATTATGCCTCCCTGCTCTCCCCAAACGAGGGGTAAGGTTGAGCAAACTAACATGAGCTAGTTTTATGAAATTTTGGTGGTTTGTTTTCACTGTTGGGGAAGTACTTTTGGCAATTTTGGGGTTGCAGTCTCATTTTTAACCATGCAGTAGTCTATTTTGGTTTGCCTAACTTTCTGGGTGCTTCCTTTGTTTATTTATTTATTTATTTATTTATTTATATTTATTTATATACAAGAATGTACATTGGGTTTATGAGAGTACAGAGACTTGAAGTTTTACATTCTTGTAATTATTATTAATTATCAATTATGGTAGTTATCATTAACTTTACATTTAAAGTGTTCATAAGCCATCACTCCCAGCACCTCACTGATGGAACCAGATTCTGGCTCTTGGTTGTCAGTAGGCCAATAGAACTCTGCAACTGATGGCTCCTCGTAGTATGGCACTGTGTACTCACCTAGTTGTACTCACCTAGTTGTGCTTGCGGGGGGTTGAGCTTTGGATTTTGGCCCCGCCTCTGAATCGTCAGTCTACTGGTGTATGTACAGGTTTCTGATCTTTTCACGCTCCATCATATCTACATTTGAAACTGTGTATGGAGTCATTCTGCACCACATTACTTCCTAGTGCATTCCATTTACTAACTATCCTGACACTGAAAAAATTCCTTCTAATGTCTCTGTGGCTCATCTGGGTACTCAGCTTCCACCTGTATCCCCTTGTGCATGTACCACCCATGTTAAATAATCCATCCTTGTCTACCCTGTCAATTTCTGAGAATTTTGTATGTGGTGATCATGTCTCCCCGGGCTTTTCTGTCTTTCAGTGACGTGAGGTGCAGTTCCCTCAGCCTTTCCTTGTAACTCATGCCTCTTAGTTCTGGGACTAGCCTAGTGGCATACCTCTGAACTATGATAGCTTAAGAGAGCCTGCAGGCCTCACCCAGAAATTGGCATTTCATTACATTCAATGCTTTTTTTTTTTACACAGTAGTATTACAGGTTCAATAATTAATGTTCAAAAAGGTCAAGGCAGGTTAACATTTAGGAATTAAGGTAAGTTACATAGTTTATTAGGTAGTACTTAGTTTCTCTTTTAAAATTGTTGAGAGAACAACAGTCTTTAATGTATTTGGGAGGTCACTCCATATTTTGGGTCCCTTGATTTGCAGAGCTTTTTTGCTTTGGTTAAGTTGCACTCTTGGAATATCAAACAGATATTTGTTTCTAGTGAGATGCTCATAGGTCCTGATACAGTCCTCTAGGAAGCATTTAAGATCGGGATTAGAGTTGCTATTCCGTGTTTTATATATATGAGTACACTTGAGAGGATGTGTAATGTCTTAATATCTAACATATTTAAATATTTAAATAAAAAGCCAAAGTGCTCCCTGGGGCTTGAGCTTGTTATTGTTCAAATTGTTGATTAGTGTTGAGTAATTATGGGTCAAGTTAATTTTGGGAAGTGGAACCCCAGGAACAGATACCATAGGTTAGATAAGGATAGAAGAGAGAGTAATAAAGGGCAGAAAGAAGTACAAAATATTTGATTTTAGAAAGAAGGGTCAACTATCTTAGAATGTTTTTGCTATACTTAGTGTATGGCACTAGAAATTCAACTTGCTATCCATGAGTACACCAAAGAATTTACCATCTACTGTTACTAATTTGGATATTGTTAATTCTTAGGTTAATTTGATCAGTGGATTAATTATTATACAAATTTTAGAAGGTTTTACCATTGTTAAGGGTGAATTGCTTAGCAGTTAGCCAAAGCTGGACCTTTTTACATTAAGTGTTCACTATCATTCAGAATAAAAAGGTTAGGACCGGAGAAAATGAAAGTTGTGTCATCAGCAAATAGAACTGGCTTGAAATGTTGAGAGGCATTTGGATAATCATTGATGTAAATGAGAAAGAGGAGAGGACCACATATACTGTTCTGTGGAACACCAATGTTAACTGGTAGGGTAGGAAAAGTTGCATCGTTCACAGAGACATATTGGAACCTGTCACTGAGGTAAGATTGCAGGTATTAGAGTGAGTGACTTCTGACTCTGTAGTGTTGCAGTTTAAGGAGGTTATTGTGGTTAACTGCACCAAATGCCTTATGAAGAACAACAAATAAACCAATAGAGTACTCATTTTTGTCAAGCGCCATATGTAACAAGTTTATCATACTAATTAGAGCATCAGTGGTACTTTTAGGGTATCTGAAGCCATATTGGCAAGGGCTAAATATATTATGTTTTGGCAGATAGGAGTAAAGCTGTTTGTAGATTACCTTTCAGATATTTTAGACAAGGTGAGCAGGATTCATATTGGTCTGAATTTGTTGACTTCAATAAGATCACCACTTTTATTGGCTGGTATTACTTTTCCTTTTTAAGAATATCAGGAAAGGTTGCATATCAGTCGAATGTGTAATGTGTTATGGGGCATAAATGTTATAAAAAATGGCTAAGAGCCTTGGAGAATCTGAACCTGCTCATTTGGTACTCCCAAGCTAGCATCCTAGACCACTACACCATAACACGGTCAAAAGCAGTGCAACCTGGGATTCGGCTAAATCCACTAGGAGTCTTGATGACTCCCAACCGGAGCTCAAACCATTTCACACATTGCCCCCCCATGCTCTTTGGCTTGTGGTCAAGAAGTTCACCTCCAAATGTTTCTTGTCAAATGCACAATGAAATCTTATTAATGTGATATATCAATGAGAACCAGTAGGAGCCATGAGGAGGATTCAAACCCACTCAACTTGGTAAACCCAAGCTATCTCCAGGTGCAATATATTATAGGGCAGTGATAGGTGTGATATGTTACAGGGCAGTAATAGGTGTGATATGTTACAGGGCAGTAATAGGTGTGATATGTTAAAGGGCAGTGATAGGTGTGATATGTTACATGGCAGTGATAGGTATGATATGTTACAGGGCAGTCATAGGTGTTATTATTATAGGATAGTCATAGGTGTGACTGGTTCATTCTTTATTATATGGATGAAAAATTCTGAGTTGCTGCAATGTTTCCAGGTTATCATAGGTGGAGGTCGACAGGAATTGGGGGCACCACTGGAAGACAATGCAGAGAAGAAGTGTGTGCGAACTGATGGCAGGAACCTGGTTGATGAGTGGAAGAAAGTCAAGACTTCCCAGGGGGAGACCAACGCTTATGTCACAACCACCAGAGAGCTACAATCACTTGACACAGAGAATACTGAATATATTATGGGTAAGTCATATCACCGCAAATGTTTTGGTACTGTTGTTGACATCGGTATAGATGCTGTTGCTGGTTGTTTGAGTAATTACCTAGATCATTACCTAAGTGTAGTTACAGAATGAGAGCTGTGTTTGTGGTGTCCCATCTTCCCAGCACTCTATCATATAACGCTTTGAAACTTCTGACAGTTTTGGCCTCCACCACCTTTTCACTTGTTCCACTTGTTTGCAATAGTTAGTTTTCTTGTATTTATTCAGCAGCTTTGTTTAGTTAGCTTAAATCTGAGAATCTTAAATCTTAACCCATTGGTTGCTCATCATAAACAGAGTGGTAGACGGTTGGAACAAGTTAGGTGAGAAGGTGGTGGAGGTCAAAACCGTCAGTAATTTCAAAGCATTATATGACAAAGAGTGCTGGGGAGACGGGACACCACGAGCGTAGCTCTCATCCTGTAACTACACTTAGGTAATTACATCATATGATGGAGTACCTAAATATGCTCCAACTGCACATCCCAACAAATGAAGTAGTTGGAAATTGCTTAAAATTTAAATTATGTTTTGAACATACAAGGGGCTCACAATTGCTTTCTCAGCCTCCAGTAACAATCCTTTAACCCCTTTCAAGTGCTATATAGTCTTAATGGCTTAGCATTTTTTTCCTGATAATTTCCTCCCTCCCTCCAGTAACAATTCCCCATTTTGAAAAAAACTTCTTAGTCCCTCACTTTATTATATATATATTTTGATATTATATATATATATATATATATATATATATATATATATATATATTATTAAATATGACCGAAAAAGTAAGATTAATAATTCTAACACGAATTTTCTCAATCTTTCGTACATTATGCTTCACTGTTGGAGGTAAATCAAAAATCACTTCTCCAAAATTCATTTTTATTTCTAGTCTGACGCGACACGGGCGCGTTTCGTAAAACTTATTACATTTTCAAAGACTTCACAAATACACAACTGATTAGAACTTGCGTTTCCCTGATTTTATATCTACATTTGAGTGAGGTGGGAAGGGTGATGTGGCATTACATTTGAGTGAGGTGGGAAGGATGATGTGGCATTAACACAAGACAGAACACTAGAGGATATTAATAGGGTATTAAAACGTAGAATCTACGTCTCGTTGGACGTAGAATCGCTGTTTACCAACGTACCTGTGGACGAGACAATCGGAATGATAGCCGACAGAGTGTATCGTGATCCAGCCTGTACTCCTCTTGACATGCCAGAAAGTATTCTGAGGAAACTACTCCAAGCTTGTACTAAAGAGGCACCCTTCTTGAGCCCGGATGGGCACATGTATAAGCAAGTAGATGGGGTCGCCATGGGTTCTCCCCTAGGTGTCCTGTTTGCAAACTTCTACATGGGTACCATCGAGCAAAAAGTCTTAGTCGACATGAACTTGAAACCGGCCATATACTGCAGGTATGTTGACGACATTTTTACACAGGTACCTGATGTCAGACATCTGCAGGAGCTGAAGGAGGCATTTGAGCAGAGTTCCGTGCTGCGTTTCACTTACGAGACGGAAAAGGATGGGAAGCTGCCTTTTCTAGATGTAACAGTCATGGAAAAGGGCGGAGGTTTCCACACTGCAGTCTACACAAAGGAAACAAACATAGGAATGTGCCTAAATGCCAACAGCGACTGCCCTGACAGGTACAAGAGGAGTGTTGTTAACGCATACGTCGACCGTGCTCTCAGCCACAGCTCAGAATGGAAGCAAGTCGACGAAGAACTCTGTAGGGTAAGGCAGGTTCTAGTCAATAACGGCTTCTCCAATGGTTTCATCGAAGACATCATAAGAAGGAAAGTGAAAAGCCATGCAACCTCCGAAGAGACAACTAACACAACACCTATACCCCCTATTAGACTATTTTACAGGAACTTCTTTTCCACAGCTCATAAAACAGAGGAAAGGGTCCTGAAAGATATTGTTAATAGAAACGTTATCCCTACAGACAAAAATCAGAGGATACAACTGACGATTTACTATAAAACCAGAAAAACGGCCAGCCTACTCATGAGAAACTCTCCAGACACGAAACAGAACGCTTTAAAAGAGACTAACGTCGTCTATGCCTTCAAATGCCCACTTGGGGACTGTAAGCTCCAAAAAACCCAGTATATAGGCAAGACAACAACATCTCTTTCTAGGCGTTTAACGATGCATAAACAACAGGGCTCCATTAAGGAACATATAATCTCTTCCCATAACCAAACCATCGCCAGAGAAATCCTAGTAAACAACACAGAAATCATCGATAGATACAGCGATAGCAGGCGGCTTGACGTTTGCGAGGCACTACACATCAAGAAGTCAACACCAGCAATCAACAGCCAATTATTGCACAACTATATTCTACCCACCTCAAGACTCCGCTCCAATATAGAAGCATCAAGAAATATGGACCAATAGGCTTTCTACAAACACTTCTATTCAATACCCATTGTTTCTGTTCTGTCTTGTGTTGATACTTTTAATACCCTATTAATATCCTCTAGTGTTCTGTCTTGTGTTAATGCCACATCATCCTTCCCACCTCACTCAAATGTAATGCCACATCACCCTTCCCACCTCACTCAAATGTAGATATAAAATCAGGGAAACGCAAGTTCTAATCAGTTGTGTATTTGTGAAGTCTTTGAAAATGTAATAAGTTTTACGAAACGCGCCCGTGTCGCGTCAGACTAGAAATAAAAATGAATTTTGGAGAAGTGATTTTTGATTTACCTCCAACAGTGAAGCATAATGTACGAAAGATTGAGAAAATTCGTGTTAGAATTATTAATCTTACTTTTTCGGTCATATTTAATAATATATGTCTACAGGAAAGACTGCTACCAAAATATACTAATATATATATATATATATATATATATATATATATATATATATATATATATATATATATATATATATATATATATATATATATTTTTTGAGATATATACAAAAGTTGTTACATTCTTGTACAGCCACTAGTACGCATAGCGTTTCGGGCAAGTCCTTAATCCTATGGTCCCTGGAATACGATTCCCTGCCGCGAAGAATCGTTTTTTTCATCCAAGTACACATTTTACTGTTGCGTTAAACAGAGGCTACAGTTAAGGAATTGCACCCAGTAAATCCTCCCCGGCCAGGATACGAACCCATGACTTAGCGCTCGCGGAACGCCAGGCGAGTGTCTTACCACTACACCACGGAGACATATCTTGTATTATTTACCCATGATAATTTTACAGAAGAGCCTGAGTGTGATAATGACTGTACAATGTTCAAATATCAGTGATTCAATGCTGGTCATGATGTTCACAGAGCTAGCCACCACAGCAATACTTCGTCCATCTAGGAATCTTCAAACGACTTCCTAGGTTCCTTTACAAAATAAACTTGTGGTCAGTTATTCATTTACAGGATTTAGTGACCAGTATTGTGATAACAGCAGGATTGTGGTGATAATTAGCACTGTGCGTAGTATTGTGGGAGGAGGAATTGTGGTGAGGGAGGGAGAGAATTGAGGTAGCCTCACTGTGTGTGTGGCAGCCACCTTTGTTTTGCTCATCATACTAGCTTAGTGGTTAGCTATGGTGAACACATATGTACATAGATATATACAATGTGTGTGTATATACCCATGTACATATGTTCGTAGTATTGTGTGAGGAGGAATTGTGGTGAGGGAGGGATGGAGAGAATCAAGGTAGCCTCACTGTAATTACCTAAGTGTAATTACCTAAGCCACTCTTGTTTTGCTCATCATAATATCTTAGTGGTTTGCTATGGTGAACACATTTGTACATAGGTATATACAATGTATGTGTATATAGTGTTATAACAGCAACAGGAGTATGTTGGGAGGAGCTATTTTGGTGAGGGAGGTGACGTAATCGTAGAGTCGTCTGCTGGCTGCTGTGTGATTTCTCATACAGTGTATGGTGGCTACTGTAAAGTTTGGACACAATACTGGCTTACTTGCACAGTTCTGGTGAATAAAACATGTAGATAGGTATACATAACATGTGTAAATAGTGTAATAAAAACAATAACAAGGAGGAGGAGCAATGTTGGCAAGTAAGATGTTGGAGGAGTGAGGGAGACTGGCTGGGTGTGGCAGCTGACACTCGCGGAGTTCTGAGTGTGTTGATGGTGAATGTATATAGTATGTGATAGTGTGTAAATAGATTGTATATATACATAAATTAGCATAATGCATGGGAAATATGTGCAACATACGTGTACACATGTGTCATGCACGTAACACAGTGTCTTTGGACAGTATGGATATTCTATTGCCATAATATAGTGTATGTGTTCATTATACATAGGATGGGCACGAAAAAACAAATAAAATGTATTTGTAACTGTGCGCAAAAATTGAACAAAAATATATTCATGGCAACTGGCGCATCTTGAGCTAGGCGCGCTAGTGGCCCTGGGGGCATGCGCCACGGGCGACCAGGAATTGATGACGTCACATGCAAACTTACGGACCCCATAGCAGCCAAAGTAAGTAGAATTTCAACTTTTTGTTAACATATCCATACTCAGGGAAGGGTTTTCAACACTTTCAAAACCCCCCCAAAAAATTCCAAAGAATTTATTTCCTGCTCACTGGGGGGGGGGGGGGTGCTATATTTTGAAGTGTGCAGTGTTGAGGGGTTAATAAGTGCTATGGTTCTACTCAAGGCATCAGGGACAACATGTGATGGCCCAGGCTTGTAAATTATTTGGAATGAATGTGCTGACAGCTCATGACTCCATCATGACATTCGAGGGCACTTTGTTTTTTTTTTTAAATGTGGGTCAGAGCTCTATGATTAGTATATATCACAAAATGGTGTTGCAACAAGTAGGGTTCAAAGTATCTAACACACTCAATTACGACTAGTGCCTCCTTGTCTGTGGCTGAATACCGTACCTAAGGGCCCTTCACCTTTCCACTGAAATACGTTTCTGGGTGTGGGTAATTCTCCGAG